TACATCTCAAAAACTATAATCATTTTAATTTTTAAAATTAAATACACTTCCATACCTGAGTAAGATCCATGCAGAACTGAAAATTAGGTGATAGATACGTAAATACTTAGAATTTGAATGGTATCTATGTAAATCTTCTGTTTTATTTTTGTCCTAATTGAAAATGGCTGACTCGTTATTGCTTCTTCATGACATGATTATGACTCTGTTTTGGAAATTTCACCACCATTTTTTTTCATTATTTATTCTATCTTCATCCTTCACAAGTTGAAGCTGAATTGCATGGAATTGCATGGAGTTTGCAAGGAATTTATTATTAAAGCCCAATAGATCATACAAATTACATCAATTGTGGGGGGTGCAACTGCATGCAATTTGCATAAAAAGCAATCATTAATTATTACTACATCAAAGTAAAGTGTCATATCACTCTCTCTGGAATACAAAAATTAAAACAATGCAAAAGAAATAATGATAGAAATGTAAAAAAAGGAGGGGCAACTCTTCTATTGCTTTTCTAAGAATGCCAGAGCTTCTGAAAGGTTTGGCAGCGCAGGAATTGCACCTTTCTTGGTGGTGGTGATTGCTCCACAAGCATTTGCAAATCTCAGCACTTCCCTTAATTTTTTCTCATCCTGTGCCCACAGAAAAAAAGTATCAATAAAATCTTAGGGGCTGCTCTACAAATAGAATATTTTAATCAGGAAATCATGAAAGAAATGTTGCTATGGTAGAGCACCTGCAATACAGACATATCCTGAACTACTTTGCTGAGTAGGGCACCGACAAACGCGTCGCCGGCGCCGGTGGTATCGACTTGCTTCACACTAAACGCATTAACGGTCCCTCGAAAATCCTGCAGCATTAGCGGGCGAGAATGATGCAATTTGTTCCCAAAACTATGGTAGTAACTCATTTGATTTGTTGCAGATTGTTAAATTTAAGCTGGAACTGAACCTATCTTTCAAATTTTATCAGGGGAATTTACATACATACCAAGCAAGTTCCTATGTCTTGCAGGAATTTACATAAATTTTCTTGAGACCGCATATTCTAAACTAAAGAAAATACAATATATTGCAGGAAAACATACCTTGGTGTAGTATTTGCACCCCTTCTCACCAAGAGTGACCAGCAGAAGCTTCAGTCCCGGATGCCAAAGGCTCAAGACCGCTTCGTCTTCCACGGAAGCCTGGCCGGTCAAGAACTCGAGCTCGACGTCGCTGATCTTAATGATATCAGCCTGGTCCCAGATGCTCAAGATTTGCTCCTTAGCTTCAGCCGCAGAGGGCCACAATGGCAGCCTGAGATTTGGGTCATAAGAGAGAAGTGATCCAGTCTCCTTAGCCACCTCCAGGGCCTTTAAATGAGCTGATCTGCATGGATCTGTTATAAGACTTATAGATCCATAGTGGAACACTTTTGCCTGGAGAATAGCACTAATATTAGCATAACCTTGAATAAGGCCATATGAAATATATATATATATAAAGAAATTACAACACGATTCCCACTTGAAAAGCTAGTTCCTAACAAGCGGTTGTCATGAATGTCCTTAAATAAGGGCCACAATTTTGATGAATTATTTGGCTTAGTTGATCCTAAATATAACATTTTGGGTTTCATTCCCCATTTGTAACTCAATAATAATGCAGGATTCAATTATGATGAAAACTCCAAAATAATATTGATCATGTTATGGTTCAAGTTTTACTTTAGCTAACCTTATATTTTACCACCCTTGCCAACCAACACCATTGCCAGCTATTTTTGTGTGATATGGAACCCTTTACAATCGGTTAAATAAGGATGCATTGCTCCATCGGTAATACAATAAGTTTATCCTACTATAAACAGAATTTCACCAACCTTCGAAGGATTCAGATAGAAAAACATCATAAATCTAACATCCTATGCTTAAAAAAACTAAGGGCCTGTTAGCAGTGGCTCCAACTTAAAAAAAATGTGATTGTAAAGTTATGGTGAAGAGAACAATTTCTTAGAAACTGCGCCGATAATTATATAGTTTGAAATAATTTGAGAGTAGTTTTCGCCACCACATTTTGCAAGTCAGGTTGAAAAAAAAAAACAACTTATCATCTTAAAAATTTCTAGAAAGCAACAAAAAAACAGTCCCCAAATAGAGTTGTGGTAGTGGTTTAAAACGCAAAACAGATAGACAATTATCCCAAACATACCATAAGTCCTTGACCAAAAGAGCAATTAAAAAGTGACAAAATGAGCATACGTTTTTGTGTTGTGGTATTAGGGCTGTAAACGAGCCGAGCTTGAGCGAGCTCAGGCTTGGCTCGTGTTCGGCT